GAGGAAGCCAGGTTGCAAGTAGGAATCATTTCCAGGTAAGCATTTCAGGTGGCTTTCCTGAAAGAGATCTGAGAAGAAAAGGATTCAGCTCTACAAAACTCCAGTAATTTGTTGAGATTTATTTTCTCATTCTAAGTACATAACCACTTTTATGAATAATTTTGTATTTGTAATTTTATGTTCATTTTCTTAAACAAAGCTCCCCAAATTGTAAGCTTCGGGCCCAGGAAACAGGTATCTACCCTTGCATATGAATTGCATATGAATTTTTTATCACTTGTTTTTTAACTCAGAAAAATAAATTATCCCAGAAAGATTATCCCTGTCAAAGAACTTGCAAAGGCCTATCGGTTAGTTATTGGTTTAATTGTCCTGAAACCCAGTCAATTACAATGAAAATTCCTTGTCTAGTTGAGAGACAAATCTCAGTAAAGCAGCTAGGGTTTATTTCAGAAGTAACATTTTGTCTTTCACAGTGGACCTCAGAAGAGCTCTGAGGCATTCAGAATGCCTTGTGATTCTGACGTGCTTACCTTCAGACAACAGAGGACAGAATCAACTAATGTGCAGAAATCCACACTCTCTTGTGCCACTGGTATTAGGCCAGTGGAAAGGGTTTTCATTTGTAACCTTGCTTATGAGGTAGGTCCAGGTTGCATTTTTGTCTTATTAAAAAACAGAATATGCTGTTTTTCATATACTTTCTTATATGAAAAACAACATATATTCACACTGATCAAATATTAGAACATATAAAAAATTATTCAGTGAGAAGTCTACCTCCCTTCCAAGATGCTGATCTGTCCAGTTCCCACTATCACCTATTTCTGGCAACCACTACTGTGAGTGTCTGTGTATCCTTTGAGGGTTTCTTCATGCATCTATGATTTTAGATTTTGATCCCCGCTTTCTTTTGATTTTGATTTGCCTGGTATACTTTTCCCATCCTTTTATTTCAAATTTTTGGAATCATTTTATTTTAGACGTGAATTGGGTTTTTGCCTTTGATCCAACTAAAAAATCCATTTTTTAAAATCATGAAATTGAGCACATTTAAATTTGTTGTTTATTAGACAGTTTGGTTTTGTATTTCTCATACTCTTTTCTGCTATTTACTGTTTATATATTTTTTGAAGTTTTCACTGGACCTGTAATCTTTTTCTTTGTTTTATTTGAGGGGGGTGGGTGGGTGGGTGTTATATGTTTGTTCTGGTAGTACCTTTATACTTATAGATTCATATAATTATAATTGTTGTCACCCTTTATTTTTCTAGGGCAGTAACAATTAAATCCATGCTGACTGATGATAAATGAACATGTTTCTTCATTCCCCTCCCCCTCTTCCACCACACAATTTTGTTCAATAATATGATTTTTCTTTCTGCTTCTGTTTTGTTAAATTTGCTTATACGGCTATTACTTGACTTGTTGGTTTAAGTCCTTTGTCTCTCAGCTGTTACTGATCTATCATGAATGAAACTTCTTTCTTACTTTCCCAATTTTTGTTAATTGTATCATTTCTACGTTGTCAGGCATGTGGCATTTGCCTTCTAATTTGTCATCCTAAACTTTATGTTGTTTTAATCTCACTTCTACGTTAAAATATATTTGGTGCTCACCGCCAAATCTTTTCCTCAGTCATTTCTCAGTTTATGTTGTAGTAATTTCCTCAAAAAGGACTCTTGGGAACAATAGTCCATGAACTCCCTGCACGTTGAAACTATTAGAAGTTTTCAGATTTGATGGGCAGCTTGGATGTTTATAGTATTCGTACCTCACATGTTCTTTCCTTACTTATCTTGTGGGAGTTGCTCTCTTTACTGTCTACTGGCATTGATCATTGCTATGAAGATATCAAATGCAATACATATATTTCTCTTCTTTTTTACTTTTTTTTTTTTTTTTGCGGTACACGGGCCTCTCACTGCTGTGGCCTCTTCCGTTGCGGAGCACAGGCTCCGGACGCGCAGGCTCAGCAGCCATGGCTCACGGGCCCAGCCGCTCCACGGCACGTGGGATCTTCCCAGACCGGGGCACGAACCTGTGTCCCCTGCATCGGCAGGCGGACTCTCAACCACTGCGCCACCAGGGAAGCCCTATTTCTCTTCTTTTGAGTGGCTTGATCATTTTGCTTGGCTGCCAAATGATTCTGCCTTTATCTTTAAAGTCTAGTAACTTTAGTGGGATATGCCTTGTTTTTGACTCTTCTGTTATTCCTGGCACAAGTTATGTCCTTTTTTTTTCCCCAGAGCAAGAAAAGTTAGGTCTTTTATTTATATCCTTTTTGCCTCCAACTCCTTCTTTCCACTAGAGATATTGCCAAACTCCATCTTTGCCACAATTTTTAAAAATTGTCTCAGGCCAGTAACAAAGATCGGCTATCTCTAAGCTATACAAGACATAAATTATACCAAGAAATACTAAATTTACCAAGAAATAAAAGGATCAGGATTTTGGAAAAGTGAAGACACATTAATAAAACTGTGATTGTGTTTGGAACTGAGTTACCAAAAATGCAGAAGCACGGCTGAAGCTCCTGCAGCTTCACTGGTCATTTAAAAGTTCCAAAATATATGCTATGGGCTGAACTGTGTTTCCCCAAATTCCTAACCCCACAGCATTGTATAATGTGACTCCATTAAAGATAGGTCCATTAAAGAGGTAATTAACAGTATGTCCTTTTTATATATGTCAGGTTGTCTCTTATTTGAGGAAAGTTTTATTACATGACACTTTATAATTTTTCTGCTTAATTTTTCTTTCTTAAGGACTCAGCCCATTTCTGTATTTGTTGGGTCTTTTTTTCCCCAATATCTATCATTTCCTTCTAATTAGTTCTGTTTTTAATTTTCATCTTATTTCTTTTTCTTACTCATACACTCTACACTTCCCATTGTGTTACCATGCAGTCTATTCTCACTTGTGATATTTTTTTTCCTGAGTTCTGCCAGCTGACATTTCATCACTTCCCGTTGTGTCTTCATCTCATCCCTGAGATGAAGGGACTTTTGCTCTGTGATCTTCTTTCATAGAGACAGGAGCGTTTTCAAATTTTAAAATTTAATTTGTGGCAAAATGCTTAGTAACAGTATTTGTCCAATGGCAACACGTTCCTGGTGGCGATCTATGTATTGATTAGTTTTGCTGCTGTTTTTAAAATTCGTTTTGTTTAGTTTTTAATTTTGCTTGTAACACATTTATGTCTATGCTATGCCAGTTTTTAAAATTTACCCTTTTAATCAATTATCTTTAATGAGTTTAGTTTTCTTAGACTTGAAATTTGTAGCAGGTCCCTGGGTGAGAGCCTGGGACATGGGATCAGTGTGGCCTTCAAGTTTTACAACCTACAGAGGCGGACTGCTTTTAGCAGAAGATGGCTCGTGGGTGTGATTCTTTATATAGTCCTGCCTCATATGTTTCGCTGAACCAAATGAGGTTGGGGAGAGCTTTTGCTCCCAGCCTTCTTCACCCCGTGTAGCATCCATAGATATAAATGAAAGTTACAGCATTTGGACTGCAGGGTGAGCCCCTCATCTTTAGTGAGCATCTCTTTGCCAGCACTTTCTGAAATGCTGCAGCTGCTGCTGGCCTTTTTATACTCTCCATGCGGATTGATTTATCTTGTGTAACTTCTGCCCAATCTCAGCTGTTTGGCTACCCTTCTTCATGTTATGTAGGCTGCAGGTTACATCTACCTTTGGGTTTTGCTGAACGTGGAATTTATTCGCAGAGTTACTTCCCCTCATTTTCTTGGTTTTTCTTGTATAATATCCAAGAGCAAAGGGGGCAAGATGTTGACTTTTATAGTTATGTTTGTATGAGAAGTGGAGAGTTTTGTTGTTGTTGTTGTTTTTTAATCCAAATATATAAAGATGCCTCTATACTGTGGGGTTATTCAATGTTCATGTAGTTTCTTTGTTTCATAATTCTTGGCTTGGTATTTAAAGTACCCCTCAGTCCAGCTCCAATCTCATTCTACTTTCCTCTCCTTTATGTTAAATTGTACTGAATTACTCAGAGTTACCTGAAGAGTAGCTCTGTTTCTCCATACTTGTATTTACTTTGTTCCTTCTAGTTGACATTTCTTTTCCCCCTTGCAAACCCTTCCTCATCTCCATAGTCCTCATTATCAGTGAAAATCCTCTCTGGGCTTCAAGATCTATCTCAAATAGCGTCTGATTCTTCAAGCTCTTTCTCTGATCTCTGCGTATTGTTATAAGCTCTTTATATGTTTAACCACATAATTTACATTGCTCATATTCTCTTAGAATGGTATCATATTATAGATGACATTTTGGTTATTAGGCTACTGCTCCCACTTTCTACCAGTTGGAAGGAAGCCTGTGACTTAGTCATATTTGTGCCCCATTATGCCTGAGCACAGTACGTAATATATTTTCAATAAACATTTGTTGAAATGACAAAATTTAGCAAAAGGACAAAATTATTTTTTTGAATGCATGGCACAGTTTCCTTCCACTTCTCACTGATGCACATATAACCATTCATGGGGATAATTTGTCTCTTTTTCTTCTGAAGCCACAGATCCCTGCAGGTCAAACTATCTTATAAGGATGTGATTGCAGATGTACTTGTTTAGTCATGCAGACAGTCAAACTGTGTTTTGATGCTTTTAATTGTCTTATTTCAATACAGAATAATTTGTTCTTTGCTTATTATGAGTCCTTGATAGCTGTTAGGTAGATTAAAAAACAAAAATGGAAAACACAAGCTTCTTTAGACTTCTCCTGTGAAATGGCAGATCTCTATCATGTTACAAATACATTACTAGGACAAACTGTGTTAAAATTTAACTTTTAAATTTAAATTGAACTAAAAGGAATAGCAGAAGCTTAAGAGGAAATTTTCCCAGAGCACTCTTGGTTTTAAGAACATCCACATTTTGAGAAGTGAAATTTGAACATTTCTCCCCACTATTTCATTTAATTGGATCTTTTGCCAAGTATAATTTATATGTCATTTTCTTCATCATTTTGTAGCATTGAAAGCAGTATTTGATGAGAAAAGCCTATTCCCCAAAGAAATTCTGGATCGTGAATGAAGAGCCAGGCAATTATGTCAAGACACAAGTAGTGACGTAAAGATTAAAAGGAATAAGAAGCCATTATAATTGAAAGAAAAATAAATATTTCATGGTCACATAAAGTATGTATATAAAATTCAAAAAAAATGGAATCAAAAATATTGCTCCTTTCTTTTACTTTATATTTGAACTTCAGGAAGCTTCATTTTGAAACAATATTTTAGTGCTGCTTTTATCCATCACCTTTCACTTTCTCTGCATTTTAAATAGAAAAATATGACTAAAGGGGGGGCAATAGCAATTGGTATTATCTATTCTCAAGTGTTTTTATATAAAAAATGTACAACTCCAGAACAAAGTGTTCTAACCAGTCACACTTCTTGTTGCTCCTATAGATAAATATTTTTGGTCAGTTTTCATTGTAAAATCGATTTGCATTGAAATTAAATATGTACTGACACAGTGAATATCTATATAAACTTGACTTAGAAAAGCATTCAGACTTATATACACTTTATATGTTTTTAAAAAATAATTCTGATCATGCAATTAAACCTTGTCAATAGCAGCTATTACTCTTAATTTTTTTTTTTTTTTTTAGCAGTACCTGGGCCTCTCACCGCCGCGGCCTCTCCCGCCGCGGAGCATAGGCTCCGGATGCGCAGGCCCAGTGGCCACGGCCCACGGGCCCAGCCGCTCCACGACATGCGGGATCCTCCCGGACCAGGGCACGAACCCGCGTCCCCTGCATCGGCAGGCGGACTCCCAACCACTGCGCCACCAGGGAAGACCACTATTAATTTTTAATGACTTATATTTATCCTTCTATGTACTTCTTGAGAAATTACTGCCTATGTTCTACTTCTATACTTTGTTATACTATACTCTAAAATTGAGAGGCATGGCACATCAAAGAGGGTATAGCCTTGGGGGAAAAATAGGGGACTGGGGCTGTGTAAAAGCTTCACTTTATGTGTAAGGTCAAGTAGGGACTGTTTTGTTCTGAAACACATCACTTTTTTGATCCATTTTTCTTTATAAATATTATCCACTAGGCAACCAGTATTCTTATGGTACATTAGCTAATGTGTCCTGTAGGAATAATCAGTTCATTCACATAACTTTAGTTCTTTTTGTATTTTAAAGACTCCTTTAAAAATATTTGTTTTTTAAGAATTTTGCAATAACACATGTAAGTAAAGAAATTGACATTATGTAAGGGTCTACGGTCTACTCTGTCCAGTTACTGCAAAAGTTTATCATATTTCAACCTCACAATAATTGTATAAGATATATCTATTTTAAGGTTCAAATCTGAGATTTGGATACATTAGGAGAGTGCCAAGTTATTGATGGCAGAGTTGGGATTGGAGCCTAGATCTGTTTTACTCCAAAGGCCATGGTTTTCACCTTTCACTATTCTGTTCACACATTTCTTAGTAGTATAAAGTCAGTGGAATGAACTCTAACTGTAGAATTTTCAGCATCGGTGGAGCAAATGATTTAGCTTGGTAGAGAGGGTGGCAGAAGAAAGATTTTCAGAAGACAGTTGCCTATTTCATCTACATTTAAGTGAATCCTGAGTCAGACGTTATGAGTTGTATGAATATCCTTCTCCTTCTCATTGAATGACAGTCACATATGGGAAAAATGTAGGAGAAAGATATTTGGAAGAATCAATCTCAACAAATGTTGGAGAATGTTGTCAGAGCAGTAATGGTCCTGGAAACCATATTCTAGAGGAACAAATAAAGAAATGGGGAGGTCTGGCTTAAGAAAGAGAATTCATGAGAGATACAAACTATCCTCAAATATTTCAAAGCTGCAGAGATACAAACTATCCTCAAATATTTCAAAGCTGCAGGGAAGAAAGAGAGTAGAACTGACAGGCACAATGCTAAGAAGGCAGATTCTAGAATTTCTTCCTAATCCCTGTTGAACTTGAAAAGGTTTCTTATTTTCCCTTTCCTTCCCATCTTCACTTCTCATCTTGGTACAGAATTGTTGGCAGCAGGCCCACTGTACAGCTAGGGAAGGAAATAGGAGGAGCTGAGAGAAGACCCAGCAGAAATAAGCTTACTGGACCCAAGAGTATGGGAGGGGTCCATGGGAGAGGGAATTAGTGGGTGGGAAGGCAGAGGGGTGAGTGGAGATGACCAGCATAGGTGGGAGATTGGTTATATTGTACAAATAAATATTGAGTGAATAAATTAGTAAATATATAGAGGATAATGAGAGCCGAGTATCTCACTGTTATAGAAGGTATTTATAAAATTTGAAAGGGAGAACACTAGAAACAACCCTGAGATTTGGGATTGGGATTACACATATCAGTGTGAACTCATGATTTTAGATAGATAGATAGAATGAAATGTTTAGGAGTGATTGAAAACTGTGATTGCATCTTGCTCTCAAATGATTAAAAAAATACTAATTATAATGTTTATATATATTTATGTACACAACACATATATTTATCTACACACACACACTATATATATATATATATATGAAAGGAAAAAGAGAGAGAGGGAGGGAAAGAGATAGGTATATAGATAGAGCACACATATGTGGTGAAATGTTAACAACTGAAGAAACAGAGAGAAGGAGAGACGGAGATCGTAGTTCTTTGTATTATATCAGCAACTCTTCTGTAACTTTAAGGTATTTTAAGTAAATTATTTTTAAAAAATGAAAAATTTTGCCTTAATCCAAAGGGTTCCTTGAGATGTCAAAGCAGAGGCTGAATAACTCTCACAGGGATATTGAAGAGAATTCTTGGATTAGTTGGCAGGTTTGGTTGGACAATACATCATTTCAAACTTAGAGCATATGATCTATGAATCATAGATTGGTGACAGTACAGTGGAGTGAAATTTGAGCCTTATTTCCAGAAATTTAAAGGAATATTAAGATGTTAAAGAGATGTAATATGGTTACCAAATACTTCATGAAGGCCCTTTTCTGCATCCATCCATCCATCTCTCCCACCAGTTATTGAAGGCATATGCAAGGGACTGTTTTAGACACCAAGCATACACATATAAATAGAATACACTTCTCCTGCCATCAGCTTTCTGGAGTGAAGGCACATAAAATGCAATGGTTTTAAAGTAAAGATTGATTGAGCCCTCTAGTTTTTCTGTTATAATTTGGAAATTCTTTTACTAGACCTATTTTATATTTTTTTAGCCCTGGAGACGACTCTGTTTGAAGTGATTGTTCTGAAATAGCTTGGTTCATGTAGACAGAACTTCTCTCTGTGGCCTACTACATGTGCATGGCACTATGCTGTGTGTGACCCTAATTCATCCTTAGTTAACTTCAGGGCCTGCTTTGTAAAAGGAATTAAGAGGAGCTGTGTCAGACAGCTCATTAATAGAGATGTCTATTCTCTATATTTAATGAGAATAGAACTTTTAAGGGTATGAAAGTCTCTTTTAATGTTACTGTTTCTAATAATGTGGAACAAAAACACTCACAAAAGGAAAAAATAAAAAGACATTTAGTTATTATGTCTTAACTCTTTTATAGCTTACAGCATCTAATTGTGCCAGGCAGGTAGCAGGGTCTCACCTATCAAATGTTAATAGAACAGAAGACTTTATAAGCTGTTTCTGAAATTAACATTTAGGTTCAATTATTTAAGAGCCATTTTTCTGCAGTGGAAAAATGGCAAAATAGGATGTGCCATAATTTTCAATAGGCTACTTTGTTTGTATTGTGTAGACTTACACTAAATATAATTTAGCCTGTTCTCTTTACAGAACATTTTCCTCTTATCACTCAAAATATATAGAGCAAACTGACAAAGGAAAGAATGCCTGAAATTAATCCATACTCAGATGGAAGAATTAACTTTTATGTCCTTTACAAATGAGAGCACTTGCTTATAAGTTTTTAGTTTGGAATTAAATTTTTTTTAATTTAATATGCATTCTTACTTAAAAAAATATATGCATTTTTACTTAAAAAACATATGCATTTTTACTTAAAAAATTATAAAACACTAAAAAAGATAATGAGATTGAAGCTGCAACCCCTTGCTATTATTTTTATACACATTCAAGTGTATTTTTTACAGTGGCGGTAGTGATGGTGCTCAAATTTATAGCAGGATGCTTTGGCTGTCACTAATGAATGTTTTTTTCTTGATGATCTAGGAGCAAATAGAGTTAGAGAGAAAACAGATTTGTGAAAATATTTAAAAGGTTTGCAGCAATATTTTATGGACAATCATGGTATCTTTACTGTCAGTTTAAAGAGCTTAAACCAGGGAGGAGAAATTCATGGCCATTGCTTTTTACTACCCAAGAGACAGGAAAGTATACATTCTGCTGGAACTGCTGTAACATGAGGTTCTTACCGAACAACTTCATTAAGTGATCTTACTAAGACAGAGTGTCTGTCTCTGTCATTGGAAGGAAAAGTAATGGCCTTTCCCTGGGTAAGTCACATTATGATCTGAGTAATGTACAGACATAATAATTTGGAAGCCAAGGGTACTTGTGATGGATATTTGCTGGTGTCACTGCATGGGTAGAAGAGCGTTGATTGAACGATAGTCTTAGGCATTCAGACTTATTTATGAATTGCCGAGTAGAACAAGAGGAATGATAATGTTCTCGTGTTGTATAATTCTGTGTTTGGAAAGTTATCTCCGACAGCGTTAAGTTGAAGCTGGAATAGAGTTTGCTTATATTAGAGTAAGTAATACTAGAATATAACCCAAGATTTAGAAAACATTTAGAGATACCTAGATGGGAAATTAAGAATTTTAGTAAATTAAGAGATTATGGCCTATGACTATCATCAGCCTTCTGTGGCCTGAGCTACAGCCCTGTTAGGACACTGAAAGAGGTTAACAGGGTCCTTGCAAAAGTTTTTTTTTTTTAATGAATTTTTTTAAAGGCATCTACATTAATTTTATTTCTTTCTCATAAATTTATCAGAAATAATATTACATTTAGTGATCAATAGTGAATATTTGGGGCTTCCCTGGTGGTGCAATGGTTGAGAGTCCACCTGCCGATGCAGGGGACACAGGTTCATGCCCCGGTCCGGGAAGAACCCACATGCCGCGGAGCGGCTGGGCCTGTGAGCCATGGCCACTGAGCCTGCGCGTCCGGAGCCTGTGCTCCACAACGCAAGAGGCCACAGCAGTGAGAGGTCCGCGTACCGCAAAAAAAAAAAAAAAAATAGTGAATATTTGTTTAATTGAAACTGGACCAAAATTTCCCCTTCTCTTCTCAGAGGCCTCTGATGAATAACACAATGTGTTTAATATCTGATTGTCATTGAGGTGATTTTTTTTAAAATTTATTTATTTTTGGCTGTGTTGGGCTTCTCATTGCAGTGGCTTCTCTTCTTGTGGAGCACGTGCTCTAGGTGCGCAGGCCTCAGTAGTTGTGGCACACAGGCTCAGTAGTTGTGGCTTGCAGGCTCTAGAGTGCAGGCTCAGTGGTTGTGACGCACAGGCTTAGTTGCTCCACAGCATATGGGATCTTCCTGGACCAGGGCTCGAACCCATGTCCCCTGCATTGGCAGGCAGATTCTTAACCACTGCATCACCAGGGAAGTCCCTGAGGTGATTGATTTGAACTAGAAAAATGAGATCAAAACCCATTCAATTGTACATCCATTTTTTATTAATAACCTGTTTGTAGAGAAAATCATGTAGAATTTTAAAAGCATATACAAGTAACACCAATGTTTATTATCAAATTATTCATATTTAATAATATCTTGATATTATCCTGATAATTTAGTAAGACAATAATCTTAATCTGGTGTTTTTGCTCAACAGAAAGACTATATTTCTTCAATATTCTCTCTGTTTCCTAAGGATTCAAATGGGCCTTGTATCCCCAGGAAACTCCTCTGACTATTGTATAATTTGATGAATTGTTGAGAACTCTATAAACGCAGCAGTAATTTGTCTCTGCAGTTTGGACTTGATTTAACTTTATTCTTTTTCTTATAGGCATTCTGAAATATTTATGATGGAATACATTGGTAATCTGATATAGGAGTTCTGTAAAAAACAAGAAGAACTAATTACTAGCAGATTTACAACCACTAGCACATTCTTCCACATTGTTTCTACTTATAAAAGAAGTGAAATAATGGATGAAATAATAATTCAAACTTAATTATTTTAAAAAATTCTATTGTTTTCTCCCTCAATTCTTGCATATTTCATAATTGATCATTAACCTGGTCATGTTAGTTCTTCTGTACAAATCTGAACACCTGCTTTGGTTTTAGAGGAATTAATCGAGCAGTGTTCAAGATAAGTAGAGTTGGCCTTGACTGATCAGGTGCTCCATGTACTAGTGTTTCCCAGCAGGCACATTTTAGCTGTAACATTACAGTGAGTAATCAGAAGCCAATTTCGGGTAAGTACCTTGAAGTTAAATAGTGTTTGAATGAAGTATGTATGCAACAACATTGACCATGAGTGTTTAATAGAGTAAGGGAATGGCATTTCAATTCACTCTGGTGCAGGTATTATTTAAACGTATCAAATTAACACATTACTTTTATTTTCCTTAAAAGATTAAATTTTCACTACAAATTTGAAGGCCAAATTCTTATAAGACTATTCATCAGGTCGCTTAGTTCACCAGTGCTTTGTGTTTTCTGATGAGACACAATCCCAAACCCAATGAGGTAAGTGAATTTTTAAGACAATTTTTTTGCATGAGCTTGTAGTTTATTAAGGGCCTAAAAATTTCCTGGGAGAAATGGATGCTCAAAGAATATACATTTTAATTATTAAGACTGTTAATAATGATAAGGCAACTCCCAGATTCTACTACTAGGGAAAAATTACATCCTTCATAATATTGCTTATTATTCTAATATAAACCAAGTCCTTAAAAATGGGCCAAATGAATTGCCACTTGCTGATTTAAAATTTTTGATAACATTCTGACTACTTATGTATCCACAAACTGATATTTTGGTCAGAAATCTTCTGAGATATTGAATATATTAGAAAATGATACTCAGAAATTTATTTTGCATGTAAAACATCTTTTACACTTTTACTTTTACTATTGTTGCACTACCACTCACAACCTTATGTACTAATTTAATCTTCAATAAGACATTTGCTTGATAACATATATTTATATTATCAGTTTATCAACACATTATTTTCTAACAATTGCTTTGGATTGTGTTTTGAGTTTTTTTTCCTTTGTAAATTGTATATCTAAGTTTAACTACACATATTAGAAAAGAAATGGAAATATCTAGATAATGACTCTACAACTTAGTTTTGGAAAATAATTGACTATTAGTAATCTTTATGTATAATAGTGATTCTTAGCCATTTAGGGGTCATGGAAGCCTTCCTAATAATCTGCAAAACACACTAGAACTATAGTTCTTCATTTCTTTAAGGCTAACAAAACATTATTCCGGAGGTTTTCATATTTACGTCCAATAAAGGGTTACTTCCTAGTAACCTATTAAACTAGTACGAGTTATTGAAAGTGACTAAAATGGATTATTTGTAAGGTAAAATTAGTGTTACTAAAATTTTAAATACTTTGAAATTTTATTTTAAATTTATTCATTTAAAGTACTTAAAATTTAAAATACTTCAGAGTCAGTATTCTACTAAGTCTGCAGTAATATTGTAAAACTCATTCTGCTCCAGATGTAATGAGATGGTTGAATCTCCTGGAGTTTTAGTGGAGAGCAGTTTAATACGGTGTCATTAGTGTTGTGAATTGGTTACAGTTTTCAGTTGCAGCTTTCTTATATTTGTTAATTTATTTGTCAAATTATTCTTTGATTTTAAAAAAATTGCTTTCTTCATTCTTGTTATTGTACCATTTATATTTGATTGTAATTTTGTTTCTTTATAATTTTTTTCTGAGTTTTTAAAACCTCTCTTTGGAAAAGTACGAGGTGGGTTTGGAGGTTATTTCACCATTCCGTAAAGTGTGAGACTTGTTGCTGTAAGAAGTTAGCCAGATTACTCAACTGATTTAGAATACTTGAATTTCCTAATATTATAGGTTCAAAACCACACTGGAGTGTGTTAGGTTTTTATTCCATTTCTCCTTTTGTTCTTTAAACTATTTTAGAGTAGTCTGAACAGAAATTTCCCTTGGTATCAGAGCTGCAAGTATCCCATTTAAAACCATGGAAAAGATGCAAAAAACTATCACATAGCTATTCAGAGATAGTATTGCTATTGATAATATTCCAGCATTATAATTTCTCCTTTAATTTAAAAAAACTGCAGTACATCTGTACTGCTTCCTGAATGCATATTAAAAATGCTATTAGCACATGGCCTATTTCTCCTAATAGAAGATGCTTAGTCTGAAAATTGACATTAGAATCTTCTTGTGGTAGTTTGTTCTAATAAGACAGAAAGTTCTAATAGATAGAAATCTTTCTATTGAGCTTACTATGGTAAACTCTGATTATTTTGAAAACTAACAAATTTTGAATTAACCAATGCAGAGAGGTCAAAATGGATAAGATCTTGTTGTGGAGTCTCCTGTTGACTTTTTCTGGAAGTCAAGCCTCAAGCCCCTTGGCTCAAAGAAATACCGAATTTGCAGTGGATCTTTATCAAGCTGTTTGTTTATCTCATAAGAACAACATCATAATTTCCCCTTTTGGAACAACTCTGGCCCTTGGAATGGTACAACTGGGAGCAAAAGGAATAACACAACAGCAGATAAGACAAAGTTTAAAATTTCAAGAAACCTCAACTGGTGAGATTCTTACATATGATTATTTATACTGGATAAGATCTGGCCAAATTTATTTTTAAACTATCAGAGAAGCTCAGGGTCATAGAACTTTAATAAATATAAAAAGTTATGAAAAGTATGAAATTATAATAAAATGGAGATTTTTAAATGCAAATAATTGTCAATGTAAATAATTATAATTGTTTCTTAATGAAAATATTACCAAAATAATTTATTAAACAATTAATTCTATACACATAAAAATTGTGACTATGTCTGTATATTTTATTCTAGCCTGTTTTAGCCAGTTTTAAGTGAGATTATGTTGTATGTGCACGTGTGTGTGTGTATGAGTAGATATACACCCATATATTTGTATACACATATTCTTCTACTAGCACTTACTGTGTCCTGATCATTTTTTCATATCATGCAACTGTTTCAGAATGTAGTTTTTAATTGCTGTGTCTTTTTGCCTCTGATGAAAACATTACTGCGTACTCACCTAACCCTTCTTCATTAGGTAATATCCAATACTTCTCTTATAAAAATGCTTCAGTGAGTACCCTCACCCAGAAATCTTTGTGTGAATCTCTTATTATTGTGTAAGCTTTTAAAGATTAGTTTTTAATTAGAATTTAACCTTTTCACTTAAGTGAGACCAAGAAAAAGCATCCATTTATATATTTTAAAAGCTTATTGAATAGTTTTTAAAGAAAATTTTAAAAAAGAAGCATTTATATAACCCATTGCACGTGAGTAGTTGTTTTCTAGTGTCCCAAAGGCCTATCTGAGATACTGTGTTGATGCTTTAGTGCTGGTATCCCATTTCAGGGGGTAGTTTTCCATCTCCCTGGTTATCCTGCGCTTCCAATTTCCATTTTAGTTTAAAATGTTTATATCACTGTCAGATACTGTGTGCTAAACATCAGAGGTGACTTCCAGATTTTTGATTTGGACATTTAGTGACTGTAACTATAACCAATTGCAGTATGTTTGCCTTAGCACAGAGTAGTTATTTTTAGGAAATTGTTTTTCTGAATAAACTATTTACAAGGTTTTATTTGCTTCGTTTTAAATAAAGGCAATTTTATGTAGAAAAGACGTTGGTGATAGTGAAGTTAATTGCAAGAGTTTTCCTTTGTAGATAATGTAAAATAAAGCCACTGTGTTGCAGATCTAGTCTTCATTGTCTGTATTAATTTCAGCAAATCCCACTACAGAGTCCCGGAAACATTTATATCACATGATACTGCTTTGGAAAGTAATAGAACATTTATGAAGATATGTAAAGTTGATTCCACGATAAACTAGCAAAATTAGAGCCTCTGAAATTTAAATTACTTTAAATGAATCCATCTTATAGAGGAACATGGGAGTCTTAACAACTCTGGATTGTGAATATAATAATAATCATAGTAATAATAATGATGACATTATCAAACATATATATATATATAGTGTACCAGTCACTGTTTTATGTGCTTATCTCATTTAATCCTCACAATTACTCTGTGAGTCAGACATAACCCTGCTATACGGATGAGGATACCAAGTCAGAGAAAGGTTGAATAACTTGCCCTGAACTAATTCTAAAAATGATTCCCTGAGGGTTATAGGTCACAAGAGCAATAATGAATATTTTAATATTTTCTTTGAAAGAGTATATATGGACAATTAAACATTAACCTTTTAACACACGTAACAAAATCTACCAAACTTGCTTTCTATTATACTTCGTTAAGGGAGGGAGAAAGAAGCACAGATGGAGGATAAGTACAAAAAAGAAAAGAAGACCAACCAGAAAGGGAGAAAATAGAAATATTAAACTCTGGAAAATAAAAAAAGGAAGGGAAAATTAAGAAATAAAGAAAAAGAAGACAGAGTTAAGGAAGGAAACAGAGAGAAAAAGTGCAGGAAGATGAAAAGAAAGAAAAGCAAAATGGTGTTAAGGGTAGAACAAAGGGTATGACAGATTAGAAGGTAGTGCCTAGCAGAGCCATATTGGAACCCAAGACGAAAAGAAAAATCAGTAACAATGAGCCTGTCTTTATTTAAAATTTTCATATTTCATTCATCATGGATTTCTTTGTGTTAATATTGATTTAAAAATATATTGCAGTAAAATATTATTTATCTTGATTACTGAATTTGTTGGCATCTCCTTAAATTTTATACCAAAATGAGTGTCTCATTGACCCATCTTGGTCCTGGCCCTGCCTTCAATTCCCTCTGATTGTCAAACGGTGCTATCTGTTCAGTCAGGCTATATTTTACTTTTCCAGCTACCAACCTGTTTCACATCTAAACTGCTTATTCTTCAGATGGGCATACAACTCCTAGCACCCTACCCCCACTGGAGCTCTCAGTATCCTCACTTATCCTTCTTTCCCCATTGCCAAAGCGTCAGCTCAGAATTTACCTTCTCCAGTTTACTGAGCATCTGATAATACTCCATTTTGCTTTGCCTCTAATGATGCTGCTTATTAATCGAAGACTAACTTAAAGGTGCTTCTTTATTCCAAGAGGGTTATAGAAAGAGAAGAGCATGAACTCCTGTCTCAGTTAAGCATACAAAATGACCTGTGATTGGGCACCTTTCAAGTTATCTTATCTCTCTGGATTTTATTTATTTATTTATTTAATTTTATTTTTTTTCTCTCTGGATTTTAGATTCCTCATTATAAAAAGGGGAGTTTGGATTAGATGATTTCTCTGGACCTTTCAGCTAAAATAATCTATAATCCTATGACTGCCTTTGTTTTCATCTTTGGATCTCTCACATTGTACACATGGTTGGTCTTCGGGCTTTTAATAGCAGGAGCAATAAACATGTACTAAATTTTAGAACATTTTTTTGGAGGTCTGGTACAACCAAACCAAAAGTCACATTCACTCCATGACTGGTAGGTTTTCCATGGCTCTATTTTAGGAAATAAACTTATTCTCATTGCTTACTAGGAGCCATGGATATGTATTCTTTTTGATCTGTGCTAAAAGAAACTATTAATCTGTAAATTAAATCAAATGTATAAGGCAGATAACTTTATATTCTCCAAACTTGTGCTACTGGTGACATTTTTTCATTGACTTCTGAGTCCAGTGATTTATCAAAGGGCAGCTGACTGTTTGTCAAACAGTCTTAGACCTTAAGTACATGACATAAATTTATTTGCTCTGACAAATGAGTTGGAACTATTTTTTTCTCCCCCTCTCCTTTTTTCCCCATTCCTTTAAAGATGTTCATAAATTACAAACTTCTGAAAATTGGTTTCAAATTCTGCCACTTTATTTCTGACCTTACTTAATTCTTTTGGAGAAGCTCTATGCCTTCCCCCAGAAAGTCTTCTTTGTAGGCTCTCAGCTGTTGAGATATTCTCTCAGCTTCCAATAGCAAGAAATGATTGCATCTGAAATCATTGTATAAACAAGTAAAATAGATTAACATTCTTCCTTATGTAAGGAATTCCAGGGTTGTAAAGAATTATTGATATTCTTCATATCCAATCATATGGAAGTAAGTTTTTGTAACTAAAATTGTTTATGTCTGTGTCTATATCGCCACAAAGGGAGAATCATGGAGTTTGAAGTATGATGCAATATACCTTCCAAGCCTGCTCTATGGTTATGTAGGTTGTATCTGCACAAGAGCACAAGGACAAAGAGCCAAGTGGGGACTGAAATGTAGTCTCCACTCAGCTGGACAAGGTATGGGCATGCAGCCTACCACCACCACTCAGTGAGGGCATGAGTTCTTATTTGCACAAAAATGCCCTGTGGACCACTAGCTCTCTGACAAAAGGTTTACACACACACTTACACACTTTATTTCCAGTAGACACCTCATAGCAAGTTCCTCTCAGTCTTTATTTTCCCTCTTTATTCAATGGACATCTCCCAATGATGAACCATTTGTGTTTTCTTCAATAGAGATTAATTGCATGCAATCAACTTTTAAGTTATGAAAGCGGTATTTTCAGTATTTAACTCAAAATAAACAAAGGCTCTGAAGGAACCTTGGATTTGAAATACAGTTCCCAGATTCAACAGTTGAGTTCCAGAATTAAGCCAGAAAGGAATGAAAAATATTGGTGCCCTCTGGTAATAAATAGGAAACCACTGAATAACGATCAGAGCTGAATTCTCTCACAGCACATACAACTTCCTGAAAACATGGTGGTCAGAATGACCCAGTGATAAATAAGTAATGGGCCAACAGTGATTAGTAGCTGACTCTGACAGATTCATTTGGCTAGTGGTTATATTTGGAATGGTTAAAGATTTTTATTGTTCACAAAGACAGCCAAAGTATATAGATTCATGAACCTGAAGAAATAGGTAATTTTGATTCTTATGCATCTCCAGAGATAATTATAGGGGTACCTCATAAATTTCAAAACTTGGACAGGCACAGTTACTCATAAGAGAGCAATTCTTTCTTAAGCTGAAATAAAAGTAGTAGTGAAAAGGATTGCTCATCACTGTCTTAGCCCCCATCAGCATTCATTAGTATTCCTCTTTCATAAATATTGCATGTTATGCAAAGAATGAGATTCTAAGGATACCTTTCCAACAACTAAGAATGAGCTAAATTTGATTATAAAGAGGGAGTTTTCCTTCAGCCTGTTTAAATGCATATTCTTGTTTTTGACAAACTTCAAATTTACATGGACATTTTTTTTTCCTGTAGGAGAGCTGATTTCTCTACAAAATGCATATTCCACAGGACATAAATGCTTAAAATATTTATACTAACTTATAAAGGATCGTTAGTTATACCTAAGGGTGCAAAAACTGGTGATATGAATCAGAGCGTTTAGAAGCAAAGCTGAGAAGTTGTTGTTCTTATGTTGTTCAATATGTCAGTATACATTATAATTATTTTTTAGGAGAAGAATTTTCTGTGCTGAAGTCATTTTTCTCTGCCATCTCAGAGAAAAAACAAGAATTTACATTTAATCTTGCCAATGCCCTCTACCTTCAAGAAGGATTCACTGTGAAAGAACAGTATCTCCATGACAACAAGGAATTTTTTCAGAGTGCCATAAAACTGGTGGATTTTCAGAATGCAAAAGCTTGTGCAGAGACAATAAGTACCTGGGTAGAAAGCAAAACAGATGGTAAGGTTTCCCATTTTCATAAAGTCATTATTTGCCATTGTATTCATGGTTTTTAATATCTTAAAGCAAAGAATGGTTGAATATTTTCCTATTAAATTATGGTTCAGAGGGATCAAATCTCCTATTTTGCTCTCCTGTTATTCAAATTAATACTAAATTGTAAAACAGAGAGAAATTGTAAGCTGCTTTGAAAGGTATACAGATTATTATTTTTTGTTTGAGAGAGACACCTATTTGTAGAATTCTTGATGGAAGAATTTTAATAATAATTTTTGTTTAAGTATAGGATTTTTAAGTATGGCAGCAGGAATAATATCTTTGGCCAGGTAAAACTTAGATCTGACCATCTCAGATGCCTTCTTTCCCACATATACTGTAAATAATTAACTCATGTTAGTTGGATGTGTTAATGTTTCATAATAAATATTGATAGTTCTGTCATAAAGTTGTAATCTAAACTTTAAGTGTAAGCTGGCAAAAATTCCAAAGGTGCTACTGAGTGATATAGTAGAACACAAGATGAAACTCATACAGATCTGAGTTCAAATTCTGACAGGTTCTAAACTATGCTCCATTTAAAATGAGGATACTATTAAAACATTTCAGGATTATTGGAAGGTTAAAAAAAATGTATGTGAAGTGAACAGCATATATCAGGTCCTCAATTAATAGTAGCTTGTTTCTTTGTTCATTCGTTCTGTTACAAAAAACTGTGATGTGTAAGACGCCACTGTATTTTTCATGGGGAGCCTCCTATGGGGAAGCATAAGTTGAAAATATGAGTTGGGTGCTGCGAGCAGTGTTCACAGGAAAGTCCTATTATTGGGATACACAATGATACACATCCCTAGACAGCTCCATGGCACCTGATCATGCTGTTGACTCACAGCTTGGAAATACTCATTGGACATAGAAATAGGAGACTTTTTATTTTTATTTATTTATTTATTTTTAAATTAATTAATTAATTAATTTTTGGCTGCGTTGGGTCTTCGTTGCTATGCGCGGGCTTTCCTTAGTTGCGGCGAGCGGGGGCTACTCTTCCTTGTGGTGTGTGGGCTTCTCATTGTGGTGGCTTCTCTTGTTGTGGGGGAACTGGCTCTAGGTGCTCAGGCTTCAGTAGTCATGGCATGCGGGCTCAGTAGTTGTGGCTGGTGGGCTCTAGAGCGCAGGCTCAGTAGTTGTGGCGCACGGGCTTAGTTGCTTCGCAGCATGTGGGATCTTCCTGGACCAGGGATCAAACCCTCATCCCCTGCATTGGCAGGCAGATTCTTAACCACTGCACCATCAGGGAAGTCCAGGAGACTGGTTTTTTAGAAGAGGAAAATCATACTAGCAACCTTATTCTTGTCTTCTCCCAATGGTCAGTGGCTGCAGCTGCATGAGTGGAGAATTTGAGTGAACCATTAACGTATTAATTCTGATTGACCTGCTGAAGAACCTTGAAATAAAGTTTAAAAATTACCGACAAATATGCAGGAAGAGATACTTAGGTTTTGTTCTTTCTGTCTGAAAAACAATTTACACAAATAATCTCACTAAAGAGAGGCTGTCCAAATTTGCCTAAGACAATCATGTACCTCCTGTTTCCTAGTGAAATCCTGTTTGTACCTGTTTCTAAGTGAAATATTTAATAAAGCTCCCCTTTGTTCTCAAAATTGCCAAGTTTAAATGATAAAGCACCCTGTTTTTAGTTGATTAGCAAAATAAATTTTTGTTTTAATTCTATTTAAAGCAGTTCCTTTGAATAACTATTGCATATTTCTTCCCACCTCTTCCTCTATTCCTTTCACAGGAAAAATTAAAGACATATTTTCAGGGGAGGAATTTGGCCCTCTGACTCGACTTGTTTTGGTGAACGCTATTTATTTCAAGGGGGATTGGAAACAGAAATTTAGAAAAGAAGACACAAGGCTGATGAATTTCACTCAGAAATATGGTGCAGCAGTCAAAATTCCGATGATGAAGACTCTTCTGAGAACAAAATATGGTAATATGAACAAAATCACACTCTAAAGCACTATTTTGGGAATTGCCAAGTACATTAATATTTTATTTTCTCTGTTCCAGGTTATTTTTCTGAGTCCTCCATGAACTACCAGGTTTTAGAATTACCTTACAAAGGTGATGAGTTTAGTTTAATTATCATACTTCCTGCAGAAGATGTGAACATAGAAGAAATGGAAAAGCTAATTACTGCTCATCAAATCCTGCAGTGGTTCTCTGAGATGCAAGAAGAGGAAGTGGAAATAAGCCTCCCTAGGTTGGTAATGTCATTTTATCATTCTTGTTCTTATGTTTTCACTTATAGAGGGACTTGAGTAGCCGGTTGAAAGATAACCAATGCTCTAAAAGGCTATTGACAAACATAAAAAGAAAAGAACCCATTTGGAATTGTTACTCTACTTTATGGTTACAAAGGCAGGTCTGAACATTGCCAGCATTGCTTTGCCATGACAAGGATGGAATTTAAGTACTTAATATTCTCTGAAAGAGACGAAGAAATGTAAGTCTTCAAAACAGAATGCTGGGATTAAAGGGGATTATTATTCTTTTTATTATACAAACGTATCTTTCTCTAACTTTTTTTTCCTGATTGGAATTTAAAATATTTTGTCTTCTATTGTGTTTAAGGAAAATATAATCCCCAAGACTCTTGCAATACTCTACAATTAAAAGATATGTGAAAGTGCCTTTGACAGATAGTGCTGTAAGAGTCATTAAAATATAAAATATAAATCCTAGGGTCATTTTTTATTATTGGGGTATATATATTTATATAAATATTTAAAAATTTTTAATTTTTACACAATTTAAAAAGTTACTTTCCATTTATAGCTATTATGAAATATTGGGGTCATTTCAGATAGTTAATACAAAATGGACATCACAAAGGTGTATCTCAGGAAGCCATAATTATAAACACTAATTTTTTGATATCTTGGTTCCTGGAGACAGGAGAAACTTCAGAGAGTAAGAGGTGCCCAAATAAATCACACTCTACCTGAACTTCTAAAAAGAGACAGATGTCTAATAGATTATTTTCTGTCCCTTCATTTCTAAACTTTTCTTGAAACACTCATCAAGGCCTTCCTGGCCCTCCACCTCTCCACCCTCTTGACTTTTCCTTACTTTCCCACTTAGCCGGGATCCAGCCAGTTATTTCAATTGTACTCTCACCAAACGTTTTCAATATTTCTGTCACCTTGTCTTTGTCCTTCTGTAGTTCTCTCCTCAACAAGGTACTCCTGCTTCCCAGCTACTGATTTTGTTAAGCAAAATTCTCCAAATCAGTCACTCTGGTCTCCCTGAGGCTGGAGCTTAGTAGTCTTTCTCTTCAGAGAACTTTCTCTTCTAACACCTCACCAAGACTACCTCTGCTCTCCAGGCACTGCTTCATGTTGATTCTCTTACTCTCAATGTATGTCTCAACTACCTGTTCCTTAAAGAAAACATATTAGCATGCAAACTCACCTCTCTACCCTTCACGTCAAAAATTGTGTACATTTTTGCTAAACTTCTCTTCCTCTGTCTTCCTTGATATCCTGGAGAAAGAGGTATCCTATGATTCCCTCACCCTGACTCTGGGCTCTGGATCCAAATATTTTTAATCATCCCCTTTTTCTTGAAAACCCTTCTTTCTTTAACCCCTATGGCATTACTTACTTCTATTTATTTTTCTCTCTTTCTGTGAAATTTTCCTCTCCCTGACTTATACCTTTTTTCCTTCTGTCCCCAGATAATATTTACCAGACTTTCATTTTCAGAAATTTCTTCTTCTTCTCTCTTCTATTTGTTCCTTACTATTCATGTCTCTAATATCGACTCTCTCTTTCCAATCTCTCTTCCAGTTCTCTACCATCTGTAAATCTATACTTGGATGTTATTCAGTCTTTCAAAGAGTATTTCTTTTAGCTCCTACTACGTGCCAAACACCAGGGATATAATGGTGTATGTGATAGATGGTTTACCTATTGATCATAGAAATAATCATTTTTGGAATTGGTTACTTCCAAATTTACTTCTCTCTCTCTTTTCCCTTTGGAAAGATTAATATTTGGGGTCACACACAAAAATACCCCTGAGTTTGAGAACTGTCTGTGCTATGTACTAGTAGTGGGGTCTTAGGAGAGTCACTTAATGTCCTGAGTTGTGGTTTTATTAGTACAAAATGGGGATAATGGTACCTATAACTAAGGTATCTTCATCTTCATTAGCCTAGATAACAAATGCCTAGATAATAATGTATAAGTTCCAAACTGAATTGACAATAGGAAATACAGGCTTTTTTCAGAATTCCCTTCTCCAACATTTTAGGAATCCCAACAGGAATGGTTCACAGTCCACAAATCTGCCTAGACTACTGTAGTCTGGACAGCTTTTCCAGACTGCTTGGCCCTGTTATCAGCCACTCCAAACTGTAGCCACACTTCTCATACAACTTCTCCCATAGTGTGGACACGGACTTTGCTTTTAATTTGCCCAGGAACAACTATGTGTTGAATTATGAGCTCTCCAAATTCGTATGTTGAAATGCTAACTCCCACTACCTCAGAATGTGGCCTTATTTGGAGATAGAGTCTTTGTAGAGGTAATCAAGTTAAAGAGAAGTCATTAGAGTGGCCCTAATCCAGTATGGATGGAGTCCTTATAAAAAGGAGGAATTTGGATACAAAGATACACAGGGAGGGAAGACGATGTGAAGAGACATAGGGAGAAGATGGCCATCTACAAGCCAAGGGGAGAGGCCTGGAACAGATCTTTCCCTCACAGCTCTCAGAGGGAACCAATGCTGCAGACACCTTGATTTTGGACTTCTAAACTCCGGAACTGTGAGACAATACATTTCTGTTATTTAAGCCATATAGTTTGTGGTAATTTGTTAAGGTAGCCCTTGGCAAGCTACTACAAGTAAGAGCAACTTCAATGTTTAACCAAACTTTACTGAAATCTAATAATAAAAAGGGCTTACAAGGTGAAAAGAAATTTAAAACCAGGTTTCAGGGATGAATATTCCTGGAATGTAGGTCATTTCTTGTACCAGGGAGTCTTCCCCTGTCCATTATTATCCTTAGCCTGCCATTGTCATGGTGCCAGGGCCCACTCACCCAAAAGGGGTGTCTTTCCCATCTCCATCCTACCCAGCATCCAGAGTCCTCCAACTTTTCCTAGCATAAAATGAAGGTAACGCAGATTTTCTTCCATCCCCTCTAAGGCCAGATTCCTAGTCGTAATAGGAATCTATAACAGTAGATTTCAACCCTTAGTGAAAACAGCGTCTTCATATGGGGTAGAACAGATTCCACTCTCATCATCTCAAACTTTTCCATCTCCATCCCAGGGGTTCTATTTGCATTAAAAAAGCTCACTACGTTGCTTTTCCCAAACAAATGAAGAACTTGCCTTAAAAGGTGAAATCAAATCTTCAGTTATATGGAAGCAGAAACATTAGTTGGCAGTTGTACCACCTTTTCCAAACAAATTCCAGGCACCAAAGATTTTCTTTTTATCACAGCATTGTTTATTTTGAAAAAATACAGAAATAATGTAAAAGTTCAACGGTAAACGAATTTTAAGAAAAGTGTGGTAGAATGTAACCTAGCCAATAACAATGATAGATATGGAGGCTGTGATAACGAGAAAAAATTATGGTATATTTTAATAGAAAGAAAACTGGATTAAAAAATTTTTACAATGATTACAGCTATGTAAAGAAACAAATCTACAGAAAGAAACAAAGGAAATTTACCAAAATGTTAACATTAGTTGTAATAGGGTTATGGCATTATGAACATTTTGTTTTTCCTTTTCTATATTTTCTATTTCTTTCTCCTCCCTGCTTGCCTGCCAAATAGAAAAGATAATACATGGGAATGAGTTAGGAACTTGCTTTTCTAGATAGCTGCTGAGGTGTAGAAAATGTAAACTTACTAAGGTACTGGGTTCACTTGACCAAATAATGCAATCTAAAGATTGCGCAAAGTCCTGGGGGGCCCCATTGCCATTTTCTGGGTGCAATTCTTCATCCGCAGACTCAGAACATGGCCCTGTCTGTGTGTGGTGGCGGTGAGGGGTGGGTCTGATGTCTACCTGATGTCTCTCTCCTGCACGATCCCATGTGATTTAGAGGTTTTGGCACTGGATTAGCCGATGCTATCCGACCTCAACATCCGAAAGGGAAGAGAGAAGTGCTTAGGATGTTTGGAATAATCCCAGGAAATCTAGTTCTAAGACCAGCTCATTTCTAGGCAGGGGGGTGGGACTGAATAAGAAGTCAGGATTCCCTTGGGAATTGGTGGTTGGTTAGCTCAGGGGCCTTTGTCTTTGGTGGGCTTTGTTCTTTTCTTTGACCGGTACCCCTGCTTAACCTCAGGGCGTTGTATGCAATGTAATTAGCAAGTTGGTGGATCCCACTGAGCAAAGCCATCTGCTCCTACAAGGAAGCATCTCTGGGAAGCTCTCTACTGACTGTGAGTGCTGTTTTGCACAATTATTGAGACACACTCAGAAGGGGTATGTACAGTGGTGAAGAACATGATCTTAGAGTCTGACAGTTCTGGATTTAAATCCTGAGTAGCTATTTAGCCTTGGGAAAGTTACTTAAATTTTCCCACCCTCAGCGTCCACATCTGCAAATCGATACTACTACTCTGTACCTCATAACGTCATTTAAAGGATTAAATGATATAATATATGTAAAAAACTTAGTATAGTTCCAAGCAGTCAGTAATGGTAGCTAATTACTATTATTAGCTGCTGTAACTGTAGCTATTTGTATTTCAAAATACTACTCTTTTATTTTATTTTATTTTTAAATGTTTTTTTATTGTGGTAAAAGTCACATAATATAAAACATACTATTTTAACCATATCTAACTGCACAGTTCAGCGGCTCGAAGTACATTCACATTGCTGTGCAACTCTCACCATCATCCATCTCCCAAATTTTTCACCTTCCTAAACTGAAACTCTGTCCCCTTTAAACACTAACTCCCCATTCTCCCTCCCCCACCCGCCCCCTGGCATCGACCAGTGTACTTTCTGACTCTGTGAATTTGACTATTCTAGGTACCTTGTATAAGTGGAATCAAACAGTGTTTGTCTGCACCTAATGTATATTTGAATGCATTTTTCACGTTAACTTAATATATGTCCTGCAAACAGATTGTACCTTTTTTTTTCCCCCTGTGCTATACAGTAGGCACTCACCAGCCAACTACTTCATGCATAGTAGTGTATATACGTCAATCCCAAACAGACAGCTTTGGATCTCTAAGTGTGTGAATGTGAACTGTGTGTGGGTGAGAGAAAGTGACCTCAGGGAAAATGAGGCTGGGTGTGAGAATAGATAAGTCATGACCAGCTGCAATGATGATTCTAAATGTTCTTTCACTTTAGCCTATCAAACACTGATACAAATTGGAGTCCAAGTTTACATTAAGCATTGTCCAGATATGTTTCCTATGTGACAGAAAGCATTTTTAATTCAGCCCTTGAGGCCAATGGAATATTTCACACACACACACACACACACACACACACACACAAGTGGCCAGAAACTACTATGTACTCACATAATAGTCCAAGTCCACCACTGTCAAGGATTGTGTTATATTTTTATCCTTGTGGGCAGCCCTAAGACTTGGTTGTTTCTAAGCCTGAACCTTCCAAAGATGACTCAAGCCCACTGTATCAAAAGTGGAATTCCAAACAATAAGGACAGGAACCTTGAGGGAAATCAGTTGAAGACATTTTGTCATTAAACAAGAGTCCTGGGTATAAAGGAGAAGAAAGGGACAACACCAATCCACAGTAGGGCCTGCAGACCAGGAGTGACTCCTTCTTCAAACAGAAATTCTGAATTGGGGCTTCCCTGGTGGCACAGTGGTAGAGAGTCCGCCTGCCGGTGCAGGGGACGCGGGTTCGTGCCCCGGTCCGGGAAGATCCCACATGTCGCGGAGCTACTGGGCCCGTGAGCCATGGCCGCTGAGCCTGCGCGTCCGGAGCCTGTGCTCCGCAACGGGAGAGGCCACAACAGTGACAGGCCCGCATACTGCCAAAAAAAAAAGAAATTCGGAATTGTGTTCCTTCGTTTTCTGCAGCTTTAACCTGTGTGAGACCCTTTTAAGCACAATGGTAGCCTGTGGCAGTAAACTGCTACCTTTTAAGGAGGCAGGTAATGTTTACATATGCTACAACATTCATTTCATGATTGGTTGGTCATCGTCTATCCAGTCCTTTTGCTACTCATTCTTTTACCTTTAGCTGTATTTTTTTTTGACAATTTTAGAGGAGAGTCAAGGAAAAGAGGAAATGAACCACATCTAGAAAAAATATTAAGATCCACAAAATTTGGAAGAGGGACACAATTAACACTACACATATTGTATTGATCGAGATTACGATTTTGGATTATATTTAGATTAGAAGGCAGTGGAGGTTAGCACATTAGCTCTGACTGGGAAGGGACCTGCATACTTCACACCTGGCTATTCATGGCTCCAATAATTATGGCTAATTAGAAATCGGCCATAGATTATACTTTTATTAAATGGTTGAATGGGTTTCTATCACTGTAGGTTTCATTGGACTATGTTATGAGAAAGACTGTTACTTAAATGACTCTCTGGTATGATTAGACCTTATTAGAGGTTGTAATAAGTCTTGCAGTATTCTTGTCATTATCCCAAAATCATTGCACTATTATACTAAAAATAGCCAAATTATGGGTGGACTAGAGCATTGTTCCTCAACCTTTTAGAAGCCCATACTCCATTCAGTATAAAAAAAGTGTGGTAATGAAAATAGAAAAAAAGAACAACCCCAAAGCCTCAAAGCCATCATGCTGCATATTATCTTTCTTAGCAGGAAGTTAAAAGGAAGAAGTTGAAAATGATTGGCATAAAACAAGTTATTTTCATTATCAGTAGGTTTTAATGTGCATGTTGAGTTGTGCCCATCTCCAGTTAGCTAGGGTTCTGAATGAATAAACATCTTCCAAAAGGGCATAATATTTTACCAAGAAATAATTTAGGGCCAGTAAATTTTTGCCACAGCATGTTCCTTGTTTGGAAGAACTATAATTAAGAAGCTTGTTCAGTATTTGGCAATTAAAACAATGATCTAATTAGACTGATTGCACAAGCTAATCTCTAGCCCCAGATGTGGGCCTACCTGTTAGCTAAGCAAGGATCCTGTGCTTGGGCAATCGTGTCTGCATCCAAACCAGAGAGCACGGGGGCAAAGACCCAGCTAGGGCACAGACACAGCTCCTTGGGCAGGAGCTGTCCTGGGATTTCCCTGAGACAGGAAATATACGTAGCCCCCTGTTGGAGGACTTTAGACTCTTTTCTTTCAGAAACAAATTCTCCAACCTGGTTGTAAAATGTAAATGGTTCTTTTAGCATCTCTAAAGCCAGTAAGTACTAGCTTCTTTCCGCCCCCCCGCCCCCCTTTTTATTGAAATGGGAAAGTGAGGGTCACTGATTGCTGTTGACTTGGAATCATAGAAGATCAGTACCTGAGAGAATCTTTGAGATTCTTTGGTGAAGCTCCCTCTTCAGGCAAATGGAGGCTTGGAGACTTGCGTAGAATCTGGAGTCCTAACTTAGGGCCCTGAATTAGAAGTGTTGGCCAGCTTTTTTTTTTTTCCTATAATTTTTACTTTATTGGAAAGGAATTTAGTTCCCTTTCAATCTTTTACCTGTAAAATACAGGGCTTTGGGGGAAGATGTTAGGTGTGTCTGTAAACTGAAGGAAGTCACATCAACTGTGACAATGGATGGGAAGGCTCATAGGTTTCTAATGCCCCCTCTCTGTACCTCAGTAGCCAACAATCTTCTCTGAGGACCGTTGGCTTCTGTTTCCGGCTCATAGTCTTGGATGCCTGCCAGGAACCATCTTTGATGCTGTGAAAAATCTGAGTGTGTATAGTTGCTGGAGGGAAGCTTTACATTTCTAGCGAAGAAGCAAATAATTGAAAACTTAGCTAGAATTCACCCTGTTTTGTTAGGTGTTACTTCAAAAAATAGAGTATTTGCTTCTCCCTTCCCAGCCAACCATTTATCTGGGAAACAAGTTATTAGCAACTCAGAACTGCTCAGTGGAGCTGGGGAAAAATGGTGTGAAAAGTGAGGAAACGTAACTGGGATAATGAAAACAAAATATTTCACAATAAAATCTCTTCCAAGTCATCCATTTTATAAAAATCATTTTGGTAGAAAATGTGTACAGTGTTTCAAAAATTTTCCTCTTCATTTTTTATAACAGATTTAAAGTAGAGCAAAAATTAGACTTCAAAGAAGCTTTGTATTCATTGAATATAACTGAGATATTTAGTGCTGGCTGTGACCTTTCTGGAATAACAGGTAATATGGAAAATTATTCTTATATTATCATGTAAATATGTTTTCTTAGTAATGATGTTAACTGACTGATCTTAAAACTGAGAGAGCATTTGGCCCCAGAAGATACATACACAGAGAATAAACGTCATAGTCATGTCAAGCTGTCTGTAAACAAGCACTCTATTTTGCACTTAAGTAGTTTTGCTTAATGAAAGTCAGACAGCATTATAGAATGTTAGATAACTTCTAACCACGCTTACAGTAAGACTGTGTAGGAAAAGTATTATATGGACTTTTATTCCAGCCCTGTTTGGATTTCCTTATCTGAATAATGGGAATTACAACTTTGAGGCTCTCATCTAAGCAGAGCTAATAAAACTTTTATAAACCAATTAGCAAATGTTAATTCGGTAATATTAGAGGCCATGAAATAGGCATCCACAAGCTGCTGGATGATGAACACAATCTAGACATTGTAATGCTGCAGTTTGTAGATTTAGCTTGAGACTGACAACATATCTGAGGAGATGGAGCTTTTATGCTAACTGGCATCTGGGAAATTGTGTACAGTTAAGACACTTACTTACACAACAAAGCCCAAGACAGTCTTTAATTTTTCTCATCCTGGCAGTACCCACTAGTTCAAAAATAACTAAAGAGAAAAAAAATGGATGAAGAGGGCCAATTTGTCCTAAGTTATCTACCCTTTTTTAAATTCAGTCTTCTGTTTTATATATTAAAAAAAAACCCACAACAGTCCTAATGATACAGGCTTGTCTGTCTGATGGGGTTGGATATCATAACCCAGCATTATTGTGTATTCCTATATAAAATTTGGGCTTTGGAGAAGTATTCATTAATTTATGCACTCATCAATTATGTGAGTAAATGAATAGAATGAATGAATTTTCCTGGCAGAGGAAGTGGGTGGGGTACACAGGTGACATAGCTGTTCATTATCACCTTCACGCATGGTTTAGCTGCTGTTCTCACACTGCCAGATAGATCTGACTTCTCTGACAATTTCATCAGCATCAGGAATGAGACAGTCAAAATTAAATACTGCAACAGGATGCTATCTAAGTGTGTCCTGGAATGCAGACACCTCACCAACTTGAAATAAACCAAGCCATTTTTTAAACACCTCTTCCTCTTAGATTTCTTTCTGGCCTTCGGAAGCTCACTTGCTATATCTCAGGCTTTCAAACAGCCACTCACTCTGCAAATTCCCAGAAATTTGTGACTTCTATAAAATCTCCTTTTACAAGAAGATTTATCAAGAAAATACCTCCAAAATGCTTTATAAAAGAATTTGTGCAAGAGAATAACCCTGAACAGAAAAGAATAAATGTCCAACATATTTTGCTCTGAGTTGCCTATTTGAGTTGTTTTAACTACTTTGATTCTTTGGTTCTGTCTTATTGCCTGAAATAGAACAACCACAGTCAAGACTGGCACTATTTCTGGTCTTCAGGAGAATAGTGAATTAATTCCCTGCCATCCCTACTTACCATTTGTAAGTAGACAATAAACATTTGCTAAAGGCTACTGTGAACCAGTCCAATGCTAGTGCTCTGTGATAGTTACACAAAAGAGACACTATCTTATACTCACGTCATTCACAAGTTTTGAATGAAATGTTTTCAAAAGAGTTATTTTGGAAACTTTATGATGAATATTTGACTTCTAACTGTTATTACTTCTTGTGTCACCTTTGGTAAAATATTTAACCTTTCTGAACTTCAACTTTCTAATCTATTAAATGAGATAATATCTCATAGTGGTGGAAAAAAAATATATGTAAATCACCTTGTTCAACATCTATTATATAGTGGACACTCAGTAAATGTTAAATACAAAAAAAAAGTGAGTAAATGGCACATTAATATTTACTGGCACATCTTCTAGCAAAGCTATTGAAAGTTTCTTGCCCTCTTAACTTGACAAAGACATACTTGGAATTTTCATAGGAAATTAAGGGAAAGAATTATTGCAAAGATGTAGAAACCAGTGAGTTTATGAAGTTCAGATCCCTTGTTCTAATCTATCATCTCCCAAGTCCTGTTCTTTTTCCAAGACTGGGCCCCCTCTTTGTAAGATGGAATACAGAAGACCAAATTGCTCAGTCTAATGGCCAGGGAGTCACTTGGTCTGGTGCCAGTGCTAAACCGCATGCGTGAAATTCTCCACTCCACCGCAGCCTGCTTTTCGGTCTTCATTCTTTGCATGAGCCCCTTGGTCATCTACTCTGTGCTCTATATGTGAATCCCATCATATTCCAGGCAGTTGTGGGAAAAGAACATGCTTATTTGCATGACCTTAAAAAGCCACACTCCTGCATTTTAGTTAACCCACACTAATGATGTGGATGCCCCCTTTTCTCCATCTTACATGTTTCTATCACTAGACATAGCCTTATCCATTGATTTATTTATTTGGTAAGTGTTTATTGAAAGCCAACTATGTGCCAGGCAGTTTTCTAGAGTTGAATAAAATCTACACATTCCCTCTTCTAATGAAGTTTACATCTGTTAGGGCAGATGGACAATTAACAAGTAATTAATTAATTAAATGGTGAGGTGATAGATGCTATGGATTAACTAAAATAGAGTCATGGGATAAAGAGATTTAGATCAGATAAGAGCAGAATTAGACATGGTGAGAAGGGACAATTGCTTTGAGGAAGTGTCATTTTGCTGAGACCTAAGTTACAAGGGAGCCAATCAGGGAAAGTTCTGGGAAAAGGGATTTTAAGCAGACGGAGAGGTGGGGCTAAAGTCTTGATGCTTGACCTTGTAGCTGGAGCTACTGGACCCGGAGAGGAGGGTAGTAGATGAGGATGAGAGGTAATCAGGGGCCCAGACAGAGTCATTACAAGCAGTTTGGACTTATTTTTAGGAAGCCAATTTTTATGCAAATAACCCTTTGATGACATCTATCTTGCCTGAGGGGATTTACTTTTCTGTAAGCTGTCAGAGCTGGTTCCCCTTGACTAAATTATTTCTTCATGAATCCTTCTAAATTCGGTCGTCTTGGTGGAGTCCACCTGCATCACATCAACTTTCTCTCTCATGAGGGACAAAGCTCCTTTCTCTTCAAGTTTCAAGGCTCGCCTTCCTTTCCTCACCCTTTCGCCACCACTGAACTCACGACCACCTTTCCATTGTCTCTCTGAGGAACACTGTCAGATCTATCTGGTCTGGACACAGGGGGGTGGCAGGTGGCTTCTGAACTCATGGTTTCACTCCCCCTTCTCAAGGAGACTCTTCACAGGTCACTATACCAGAAACGCTTCACACATACATCAGTTCCACCAAGGGGAGGAGAGGGGCCTTCTCTCTCAGCTTGTTTCCACTGCAGAACAAAACATTATTAAGACGCTATGTTACACTAGAAATTTGACAGGTTTTAAAGCATAGCTCTGAAGCTATTTTGTAACAGATGACACAAAAGCTCTTTAGACTTCTATCGCCTCATCAGTCTTGAAGGAAAGTAAATTTTGTTCTAAACTCAGATCAAAACCCAATATGGAATTTAAAAGGCAAGTTGGCTTTGAGGTCGAAGACATAGGGTGGGATTAATTCAAATCTGTAAAGCCTTTTTCATCTTGCCTGTAGACCATGACTAAGGCAGGCAAAACCCTTTGTCCATTCAAATATTTCACTTAGTGGGGTACCTGATTTGAGGCTTATCGCCTTCTATCTTTATCTTTTATATCTGAGCTAAACTTGGTCTCTCCATATCTTCTCTACATCGTCTCTGCAAGAGCTAAACCTAAACCACATTTATCTCTAGCAAATTAACTAACTTGGAAGGAGTTTGGAATTTTTTCCTTTTCTTCGTTCATTTGAAAATGTAATTCACCTGGGATCCAATAAGTAATAGCCCTGAGTTTTAACCCTTCAATGCACTTTCATATTTTCCTACAGATTCCTCTGAGGTGTATGTTTCCCAAGTCATGCAACAAGTTTTCTTTGAGATAAACGAAGATGGCAGTGAAGCTGCAACATCAACCGGTAGGACAAATGATGTCACAGCAAGCCATGAGGAAGGACTGGAGGAAATGAGCGTGAGGATGCTGCCACTTTGTGGTCCTCTGATCTCCTTTTCTCCTCCTGCTGTCCAGTACACTGAAGGAAGGGAAAAATGGCTATAGAAGCTATTTATGCATCTGTGCGGCTGGAGCTTAAGGCAAAAGAAAAGGGAAGGGACTTGATTACGAGTTGAGGCTCATCTACTGATATCTACTTATTTGTCAATTGGATTACCTGCCCATTAGCAGATAGGACCCGTGGAGAAAACTGTAGGCTCAAACCTGAAATCATGATTGTTCAGGAATGTTCACTCGTAAGAAATTGTACTAATTTCATTCTTCCTTTGCACTCTTAGTCCCTACTTTTCTAATGTGACTTTTGTTATCTCTATGGCAATGGCTCTCGAACTTAGCTGCACATTAGAGTCAGCTGAAAAGCTTTTAAAAATTCTGTGCCCAGACCGCGCCCCAAAATAATTAGATCGGTATCTCTGCGGATGAGATTCAGCCTTCAGTATTTTCTTACCTTTCCCAAAGTGATAACAATGTGAATCCCAGGTTGAGAAACACTGCTCTCCAGTGACTTGGAGCCTATCCTTGCAACTGCGAGTGTAATGCATAGACCAGCAGCATCAGTGCCCCTTGGGAACTAGTTAGAAATGCAGAACCTCAGGCTCAACTCCAGACCTACTAATCCAGCATCAGCATTTTCCGAGGTCTCTTGGTGACTTGTGTGCATATTACAGCTTGAGAACCACTTCTATGATATACTTCCTTGAACAAATGATATATTTCCTTGAACATTTTGAATAGTATCTGTGCTGCGTAAAAGTAATACTCAAAAAATAATTGGAGAAAAGCCTTAAATTCAATTAGAAATGGAAGGGCAACTTTAATGAATTCCTCATAAGTCTATTTTAATTCTTCAGACCACGACTTTAACCTGTATGTAAAAGATATGCATCCTTTAAATAGTCATATTGATAAATTTATATCCACATTATTAATTTCTTGATTAATTTATAATGCTGTGTAATGGCGATGGATTTTGACATCTGGGTGGGGCACACTGGACTCCCACTACTGTTTTGTCATCTCCTGAAGGACTTTGCATTACTGTGCTCAAGGAACTTAGATTGGAGGGGATGAGCTATTACAATCCTTGGAGAAATCAAAGGTGGCTTTGGGATGAAGTTGCTAGTTCACGTAGACAAATTTTCCACTTGCTTTTACACAGAATTGGAAGAGTCCTTATAGATCATTGTCTGAACCTCTCATTATGTCAATGAAGAAACAGGCACACGTGTGACGTGGTCTGCCTAAGGTCATGCTAATAATAGACAGTAGGGTTTGGACTGAAATCAGGTTCCCTGACTTCAAGTTCAGAACTCTTTCTGCTATCACCTGATGCCTCTTGTTTTAAGTGTAGAGCTCTCTAAGAGGATGTAACAATCATCAAGGGATCAGCAGTGACCCTGATGTATCACACTTAAATAGTTAGTGTGAGTATTTTGACTTTCAGGCATCTACTCAATGGATGCTCAGGAACAAAAGAACTCAAGTATTCACCCAAATGAGAATGGGTGTGATCCTGACTATGCTTTTCTGTATTATCTCATTAATTCAGACATGAGTCTATATTCACTGGTAATTTGGTTACCATAGCCCTGATATTTCAGGTAGAAGGATGCCATGCGTTTAATATTACTAAGGTTATTTTGGATTGTGAAGGGGATCAGAATACGCCACCCCCAAATATGCCATTTTTGCAGAAGAGTTATTTTGAGCTGAAGGCAGTTGAGAAATAGCAGATACAAAAAGAGCTCTCTACCCTCCTCCTACATGTCTAAAATCAGGGCATAGATTTCCCTTGTGGAGGTGTCTCCCTTCTTGTCTTCCATGCCAAGAGAAGGAACCTTTGGCATAGGAGATGAAAGTGGGCACTGATATGAGTCTGCATAAGAAACCCTTACTAAATAATCCTTATATACCATTAATTTTCCCCATACATTTACCTTCCCACAATTTACCAGCCCTAGGCACTCAAACCCCTTTTCCTTTGTGTAGTCACTTCTCCACAATTTACCACTTTTTGTTAAAATGATATAACCCCTTCTTTGGGTATTCACTTCTTTTCTGTGAAGCTCCTGTGTGGAGACAAAATAAAACCATTGATTTTGTTAATCTGTCTTTTGTCAGTTTAATTTGCACACCCCAGTTACAAACAAAAAGTGTAGAGGAATAGTTTTTTCCTTCTCTACATTTGTTTTTCAATTCTGATCACGTGTTGCATTTTAAAAATGATTTTCATAGGTCTGAAAAAAATATACAAAATTACTACATTACTGGTAAATAAAACATCTGAATTGAGTGCAGAAATACTTAATCTAGAAAGAAAAACAATCCAGCCATTTAAATTTATCCACTCTGAAATATTGATAAATGCCACAATGGAGAAGCATGATACAAATTATTATAGTAAATAATTGTCAAGGCAGCAAACTTCTAATATCATAATAAAAATCTCATACACATTCACAGCACAAATCCTAAAAGTTCTGAGCTCACAGAATAATTTTGGAAAAGTTAAAAAAAATAAATTTGAAGTCAGATGTGATTACTACAAGCCTGGAGAATAGAAATAAAGTACAAACATACCTGGATAGGAATTAGGAGTTGAAAAATTATGAGATAAATCATATAACACAAATAAAAAGTGAGCAGAAAGTTACTGCTTAACAGATGAAATTTTCAACTGCTTTCACTAAACTGAAACAAGTTTTGGTTTTCTTCTTCATTGAGCATAAATGTGAAGTTAGAATTATTCAGTGAGTAATCCAATATTTATTCTTCTGATCTTTGATTTTTACATTTATTCCAAATTTCTTTGTATTTAGAAAATGGTTTTTTTCCCACATGTTAATTTCTCAAACAAAATGACCTTTTCTGTCTACAAAAAATAGTATGGATATTATGGATATATTTTCTTTACTGATCTTTTAATGTGCACATCTAAATAACTGTTGTCTCTATTTCATAGGCATACACGTCCCTGCGATCATGAGTCTGCCTCGAAACCAGTTTATAGCAAACCATCCGTTTCTGTTTATTATGAAGAATAACCCAACAGGTACCTTTTTGAGAATTCCCTGGAGGAACTGCTTAAGTTAAATAGACTTAGTTCTAGATGCTAATCTCAGTCTATACATCTGAGATCATTTGTTATTTCAATTTATTGAATTTATTTTAATTTTTTTCAAAATGTTTTTAGTGTCTGTTTCTTGAGTGCTTGCTTTGTACCAGGCATTGTGTGTTAAGAGATGACAGTGACCTAAAATAGAGCAATAGTAGTAATAGCTGCCGAGATAGTTACTATACGTGCTAGTGATTTTAAATACCAATCTCCACAGCTAACACCATTCCAATAAGTTAGGTATTTGATGAATAGAGACATAGATGCTCAGAGAGAGGTTGTGTAGTTTGTCTAAGGTCATACAACTGAAAAGTGGCGTAGTGAGAATAAGACATTTTTGTTTCAGAAGTCAACTTTTCTTTCAATGATGCCACAATGGGAGTGGAAGTTGGAAGTTGCACAGCTGTGAAAGGTTTCCTAGGTAGATTCCAAAAGAATAAGTGACTAGCTATAGGCTCTGAGTGGGATGGAGGAGTCAAATATTATTCCAAATCTCCAATTTGGGCAAGTGTGAAAGATAATGAACAAAAGGTAGGGGCACAAAAGGTAGGGGTAGTAGTCGATTGGACTGGCGTTAGACACAATGGCAACGTTAATGTAGATTGTCTGAGTAGATGTTTTGCAATTTCTCTTATGAGAAAGAGAGGCCAGAAATGTGGATACAGTGAGGAAACTTTCTTTAAGTGTATATTTAGGACTTCTCAGGAGTCATAACCCCATGTGAGGACTCTAAACCAGGGGAAAAGAGATTATATCTTATTCATTTCTTTATCCAGCCCAGTATTTGGCAAAGTGCCTTGCACTTAATATCAGTGCTCCTAGAGATTGAAGGTTTGGACTTGGGGTTCAAGTCCCAGCTTAATGAACTAATAGTTGTAAGACAAGTCACATACTTTCTAAACCTTATTTTCCCCACCTCCTATCTGAACATAATATTAGTACTTATCTCACAGAGTTAAATAAAAGAATATATGAAACCTGTGACACTGCCTGGCACATAGTGTTCATTGTGAATACATCAATAAATGTAAATAAGTGAACGACTGAATAAATGAAGGAAGAAAAATGGAAATTTTCTCTATATAAATTGTTTTACGTGGAGAAGAGACAGAGTTAATTTCAGAATCTGAATCTGTTAGATTAACTAGCAATACTGATATTATTGGTTCCCTAAGGGATATATCAGTCACTTTTTTTAAGTTCCATGAAACTAATGCTGAACGACCTTTCTGAAAGTTGTATCTTGGAAACAATGGGACAGTTTCAGATTTGCTGAGATTGTATTAACACAACTTCAATTCTAGTAGTGGATGTCAGTGTTAAGAGATATTCTGAGTATGTCATTTGATCTATACATCTTTAACCTTAGGGTAACTAACTTCTTGCCATCAGTGTGTAACTATTGAGTATGGAGAACAGAAAGAAATGAAGCTCATTGGGCATCAATGCACTAGGAAATAATGGTGTTTAGCATAATGATGTTTTACTCTTTATTTTTCAAGTTGATGACTATGGACATGTAATAGCTATCAGTTAAACAGCAGTGAAAATTCGAAACCCAAAATAATTTACTTATTTATTTATTTATGATAATAATTAACTATCAGACCCTTAATGCCTATTTCCACTGTTTTATGATCTCTATTGTAATGAGACTTTCTAAACTAGGGTTACTCCCTGAAAGTATTGTTTAAAATGAATGGCCACTCATTTATTGGAGGCTGTAAATTGTTGCCATATAAAATGTAGAATGGGTTATTACCTTAAGACAATACACATTCAGTGATTTATTTATTTTTCCTCTCACAAATGAACTGAAGAAGTCATTGGGATTAACGAAGCTGGTGATTTAGCATGGTGTAGTAAACTACTAAATGGCTTAATGATTTATATAAAATATATTCATTTGACAATTTCTGGAGTATGAGGGTGAATAAGTTTAGATTTAGTACAACCAATTTTTACCTAAATTTTAAATTTTGTTTAGGTCAAACAATCCTCTTATGCAAAATCCATACATTACTTGTATTTTCCTATCAGTATTTGACTTCCTATCATATATATTTCAGTATATTCATCCAAACCTCTTACCAAGCCAAACTTCTAGGGAAATGAAGAACAATTTTTCTTCTTTTAGGCTGAGGGTATAGGCCAGCGTTAGAGACTTTCAGAAGAAAATTTTCAAAGATGCTACATGAAATGTGCCATTTCTCAGAAAGTAGTGAATCATGGTTTTGAAACTGACAGTACTCCATACATAATAAAAAAATGTTGTGTTTATAACTTTTTCAGGTCGTGGGTTGAAGGGAGAAGCAGACTGCAGGGTATTCACTAAGAAATCTTTTTCTCTAGGTCATTAGCTTTGGTTATGTTATTGTATTTTTACATTATGAAGTAAAAACTGCTTCCATCGGATGGAGATGTTTTATAACTATATTGATTAAATATGAGGGACACTTTTTAAGAAGTGGGCATGAAAAGAAATGTGGAAACAACAATGATTTCTGCTTCAGCCTGCCTGTGAGTCCACTGTGACTATGTCAAGGAAGATTTCACTAATCTGTCCAATTTAGTACTGAGTAGATTGGTGATTGCATGAAGACTCTACTCAAAATGTGGTTCTCTTGGTCAAAAAAACAGATTAAAAAGGCTGGGACAAATGGCTTTTATGTAATGTCCTACACTTCTCAGTGTTTAAAACTTTAAACTATTATCTTCAATTTATGAGGTTAGTTGCTATGAAAGTTACTTGAAAAATTCCCCAAGCAAGCAATTCTGATAAGCACTTTAATGCCATAGAATTATAAAGACACAAGAGTTACTATTGATTCCTATTGTGGCTAAATGTAGTATACAACCTGAGGAAGTTATTTATGTATCTCTATCTATCTGAAAAATAGAGTATTTGTTTTCTTGTGTTTTGGGAATTATTCTGAGAATTTTGAGGCAAAGTATTATTAATTATAATCATAAAAAGAAAAAATCTGCTAGAGATTATGTCTATTTCCATGTTATTGACTCTTCTAAGACTGTGTCTGTCTTTGGACTGAACAGTAAGGAGTTAATGAAAAAGTGTTCTTCCTTTTTATTTCATTTCTGCCATTGTTATTTCAAATACATGTAAGCTTTAAAATGTAAAATTTTATTTTATCACTTTTGAAATAAACCTTTATTACATATGACTTTAAGGGACATAACTCAAGGCAACGCTTGACATAGAGCCACTTCCCTTACCCTAGTTGAAAAGAAAGGTGAATGCATTTTAACATACTTATTTCTGTTTTGTCCTCTAGTTCTTAGTTCCTTTTCACTTGCACACACAGAATGGCTGGAAATAGATGTTTACGTGTTTACATTTATGCTTTATACTATATCACCGGTGAGGATTTGAAAGCACTAGAGATGTGAAAATATTGTCTTTAGCAGTAAGCTTTGATTCAGAGCTGAAGGAAGAGATGTGAGAAGCTGCACTTTTAACCCCAGTGGTTTATATTACATGCATAAAGAGATGACTGCTAATACCTTAAATTTAAAATGCGTCCATGCTCATGACCATTTTATTATTCTAAGTTTGCCTGACTGAGTCTCTATATTTAGAAGAACACCTCTCTGTCACTTTATTTTTGCTTTCCTTTATGAAAAACAGGACTAATGCATTTTCCATGACAAGCTGTTGTGGGTGTTAATTTACTTCATAAATTATCAGAAAATGATTAATAATGATATAATTATCTATTTTAGACAAAGGAGTGGGTTTTGCTATTAGACATTGCTTATTTACCATATAGAGAAAAAAAGACAATGATTTGTTAAAATATTAAGAAATATTATTGTCATTTTTTTCTCCAGAAATTCCGAAAGTTTTTTTTCTTTTCCTAGATTCAATTTTGTTTATGGGAAGGGTGACAAATCCTGACACCCAGAAGATGAAGGCAAGAGATTTGGATTCACTGTGAATGAAAATCACAGCCTCAGAATATGGAAAATCGTTGATTGTCAAAACCTCATCAAATATTTTCTATATATCTTTTTCTGTTTTAAACTGTGCCTTTATTAATCTGTATTCATAAATAAATGAAATTATGCATTAAATGTTTTTGTTCTTTCTGTATTTTTATAGAGTATATATGAATCAAAAGTAGTGAACTTACATAAGATATTAATATTGATATGGTAGAACAATCCATCTAAGATAGCTTAGATATCAGATTCCTGTCTTAGATATCAAAGTCTGTATTTTTTTTTTTTTTTGCGGTTGTGGCTTCTCCCATTGAGGAGCACAGGCTCCGGACGCGCAGGCTCAGCAGCCATGGCTCACGGGCCCAGCCGCTCCGCGGCATGTGGGATCTTCCCGGACCGGGGCACGAACCCATGTCCCCTGCATCGGCAGGCGGACTCTCAGCCACTGCGCCACCAGGGAAGCCCTGTCAGAGCATTTTTTCCTCCTGCCATTCCTTTTTTTTCTGGCTCCTTGTTTGATCATCTCTAAATCTGAAGCCTAAAATTCAAGAGGTCAAAAGTCTAGTTTCTTTCTCTTTTTGATGCCTCAAGTCACCACCTTGATGGCATATAATATAAAGGAAATGAAAGATGATATATATTTTCACTGCCTAACGTTATATTTTTGGCTTGTCACCTCAATTCTCTGGAACTTCGATGTCCTCACCTGTACAGTGAAAAGTTGGACAAATCCTATTTAAGTCCTTTTCCCAAAGTCCTATGTTTGTAAATCTTCTCAACAAAGATACATTTGGAATAATGTCTTTTGAGTCAATATTGTCTATAAGCAGTGTTTTTTCATAAAATAAAACAAAACAAAAATCCAGTATGCATCTCTCAGTAGAATTTTGATCCATGACATTATCTTTAACTATTTACAGTTGTTTCTTTTTAAAGAAATCGTTTATTGGAGTACAGTTGATTTACAATGTTGTTTTAGTTTCAGGTGTACAGCAAAGTGATTCAGTTATACATATACATATATCAACTCTTTTTCAGATCTTTTCTCATATAGGTTATAAAAAATGATACAGTTGTTTCTTCATAAATTTGAGATTTAATTTTTAAAAATAGAATGCACATAAAACAATTTTACCATTGTGGCAGAGACCCCTATCTAGTGAAGACTTTTGAGCCTGGTTTTGAGGTGCAGAGATGTTGCTGAGCAGTGGCAGCCTAGCTGAGGACTTCATTTCTCCTACCATTGCATTTATCTAAGTGGACCCTTGTAATTAGTTCTCCTTAGTGGAATTTGAGTGGAGGCGAGTGTGTCACTTGTGAGCCCAAATGATTAAGAAATCAATGTCCCTCTCTAACTGCTCTCTTCTCCTGTACCAGCTAGATGCCAATGCTCAAGGACACCCTGGAAGCTCTATTTAGAAGATGACAGAGGCTCTGTTAGCCTGGGTTCCTCTGTCATCGTGTGTCCAGATCCTCTCTGCTGCTGGGGCCAAAGTCAATCAGGAATACCTACCGGCCTGGGACTGATGTGAGGAAGAGTTACATTTTCATTGAAATTTAAGAGGTTGTAAGTGACAATAGTGGGTGTTAATTTGGTACCTTTAATGGGATGCTTTTGTAAAGTATGGAAAGTATGTGGTGTAATTTGTAGTTGGACAGCAAAAACAATGACAGCAACAACAAGAACACAGACAGCAGGCTGAAAGCAGCAGAGTTTGTTAAGCTGTGGAACTATTTGGTAACTGTTGCCTGTGATAACCTGGAAAGTAAACCATGTGTATACAGACCCAGTATCTAGCTAAAGACTACATTTCATATCTCTCTTGAACTTGAACTTGGTAGACTACTTGACCTGTCTTCACCAGGTGGCATATGAGCAGAAATGTTGTGTCCCTTCTGGCTACAGTGGTGAGGAAGCAAGTTGGCCTACTTTTCTTTCTCTTTTGTTCACTCTGTTGGCTGCATATCAACATCAAGGATGACGTGGAAAGCCTTACAAGGCATCTGGAACATGACAAATCTCCATCAGCCTGGGTTCCTGAATAATTACATGGATCACAACCATTCTATTCTCTGCCCATCACCCTTGACCAGGGATTCCCATACTGGACTCTACTAGGAACAAGAAATATACCATGTGATGTTAAGCCACAGGAACTAGGTACCTAGTCTCAAGTAAGTAGTACACCTATGTTTTTAATACATGTTTTCCATGTATTAGTCTGTACTGTACGTTTTCTCATCCTGGTGCTGTCACCTGGTAAGACCAAATTCTGGAATGCTATTTCATTTTGGCTAATTCTGTGAAAGAAGTTCAGGAATGATCCACTGCATTTTCCCATGCTAGCTGCTCAGCTCCATGGTAAAAATGTATCTTTACCAAAAGAGAGGAAAGGATGTAAAATGCAGAGAGCTCGCTAATGGGGTGCTTTGCTGGCTGCCACATAGCTTTCTTGATTGAGAGTCTTTTCGTAATATAAAACCAGCTTTACCTCCTAGTTACTCTGTGTGTGGTGTGTGTGTGTGTGTGTGTGTG